ATTTATCGTGCTTTTAGTAGTGTGTAACATTACCGTTAAATGACAAGTAAGCGGAATTAATATTCGATGTCATCCGTTTTTACTCTATCATTATAAATTTTTATAGAATTTGTATTCAGCAAATTTAATTCTTGTAGCTTAAATAGTTTAGGAGATATGTAAATTAAACTTCTTAGAGGGCGGTGTCACTCCCACCTTTTCTTCTTGCTCACTGGTGTTCCTTGCTACTGCGATCATCTCTACCATATTACATTTTTATAATTTAATTTAGTGCTTAGTTATGGCACTTTACAGGTTTTTGGTTAATGGCGATTGGTGGGTTTGGGCCCATCAACGATCTCGAATTTTGTTTTGTACTAAGGAACTCACTTAACTAAGCARTTTAAGATATAGAACTAGGGTATGGCGGAGGGATTCGCGGTAAACTGGAACACATGTGGTCCCGCGATATAAAGGGTTTAATGTACATATCTCCCGCACACCACTTAAGCTACAATAGCCAAATWAACGTAGGGAAATTTCATTTTACCGAAAATATCGGTCAATGTGTGAGATATATAACCTAAACTTGGAGATAATCCTTTCTGATAACTGTATATCCGTGTGAAAAATTGATTGAAATGGGTTTCCTTAGCTTCTATATGTCTAATAGAAAAATTTACATACGTAAGAGACTTTATATCGCATATAACGTCCAATATAAGAGTTATCTTAATAAAATAGAGAGAGCTTGTTTTACTCTTCACAGTGTATTTCTGTGCCTAAAATAGGCAAAATTGTGCGAAATCTTGACCTAGCTCCCATAAAACTATTATCAATTATTATACGTGAGGTTACTTGATGAAACCCCTTGAGTATTTTACTAGTCTGTGGTACGTAGTTTTGGTGAAATTGGTGTTGATATCGCTAATAAAGCATTTCGATCCTCTGATTGACTTTTTCCACATTAACTTAATATATTAAAATTAGCCTCTTCAGTCGAGTTAATAGCACCTACATATCACTCATTTAAGATGTTTTCAATATGATTTTAGCTGATGCGAACTAAATAAATAAAGCTAAGTCTGAATCTTTCCAATATTTTTAGTATAATGTTTTGCCCCCACCTGAAAGAACTACCCGAGCTTTGAGTCTTGCAGTTGCAAGATTATAAAATGATTAAAATTTTGTTCAAAATAAGTTTTGAGCTTTTTTTATAAGTCAGAGTTCCAACTGTTTTTAAAGTAAGAATAAAGTTTCCACAATAAAATTGTGCTAACCAAAAACTGTTCTGTTTTGGGTTAATTTTTCTAAGGAATATATTTCTCAAATACTTTTGTACTCTCAATGCACTGTACATATTTACAAAGCGCTCAAATCTCCAATCAAAACAGATAAGATCATTTAAATTAGAAGTAACGCATTTGAAATTTAATAATGGCGTCAGCCAACTGATTAATCCAATTTGAGGAATTATACTTTTTTTACACTATGATTAATTAATTTTCCTTATAATCGGACATCAAATCCTTTCAGTCAATCTAATTTTCATCACAACCCAAATTTGCGATAATTAAAAACGTGGCAATGCATTAATAAGATAATGAATAACTTCGCCCAATTCACCACTCTGACGCTATGAAGTGAAGTGAACATTGTGACGCTAACAACAACGACCACCAAACGCACATAGCACACTCACGCAGACCTATATATTAGTGCAAAGCTCATTATTTGTCGGACCAAGCGGGAAACAATTGTTTATGTACAAGCCATTATTTCTCATGCGTGAGAATGCGTGGGTGTATGGTTAAGTAGATAATGCACATCTCCTGGCAACAGCGGCTGTGAGTAAATTCATAGAAGAGAAAATGCATATTTTATGACAAAAGTGATTGTGTGGGAGTGTGTGTATTGGTGGCGTTCATAATTTATTCCTACTGAATGATATTATGGTTTTAGCTTTATTGTGCATGAGTTAGTACATGGCCATATACATAAGTATGTAGTTATGCATATGTGCTAAATAGCAAACAAACAAACCGAGCGTCAAAGTGTGGGTGTGGGCTTATGCGAATRTGTGTAACCATTTAAGTAAACTAATTGCGAATTTCGCATTATTTGCATTGCATTTGCTCTTACATATGTGTGTTTGTATTAGTTTAGCGTGTTTGCTTATCTGCTGGGGACACATGGAGTCATACATAAATTATTGATATGCGCATTCTAGCAATGAATGTAAATTAGTGAAATGCCTTGCGCCTAAATTTATGCCACTAAACAAAAGTGGGACGACAACCGATGGTTGTTTCTCAACTTGTCGTTTCTAGCCGGCGCTTGCTTTGTTTGTTGCTGGAAATGCAATAAAATGTTATCTCTACAAAGCTTATGTCCTGGAAGACAAAATGTTGGTTGAAGGAATTATTACTGTGTTATGAAAGAAATATATATTTAGTACGATATTTTTGGTGCAAAAGATTTGTAATTAAAACACATGTACAAAGTTTCATATTAAGAAATTTCAAAAAGAACATTTTKAGTGTTTTTAAGAGAAAACTTTAATATATCTTTGAGAAAGGATTCCTATAAGCTAAAATCTAATGCAATATTTCATGCATAGCGTACACATTTTAGCATCGCACCTTTAAAATGTCTGAAATATAACCGTGGTGAACCAAGTCTTGCCTCATACACAAGCAGAGATGCATCTTAAATATCATTTATGTGTAGTAGTCTCACTTGAGAGTGATGGTGAATTTTTATTATTCTCTGGAGAACCTAGAAATTAAAATGAAACGTACGAGCATGGACGGTCCTTCCTAACTCGAATGACCATAATCCACAAAAAGCTTCGAGTTATAAATTTGTATGAAATTTTACTTTTACTGCCAATTCAAGAGTTCGAGTTATGAAAGCTCATCTGTAATACAACCATACATATATACCCTGACCAGGGCAAGCGTTGCTGTGGCTAAGATATACATTGAATAATATTTTAGTAAATTATTTAAACCAGTAAAATTAAATTATTTACGAATAAAGGAGAAAACGTTATTGTCGGTATCAAAAGTTTGAGCGTGAGGGTCAATTTTGAAAGTTATTGATACAAATATTTGTCACTAGAAAAAAGTAGAAAGTTTCCGTTTGGATATATTTCTTTTTGGAATTTTTTAACAAATTACTTAACAATTTATTACATATCTTCTTTTTCTTCTTGATTGGCGTAGTCACCGCTTACGMGATTATAGCCGAGTTAACAACAGCGCGCCAGTCGTTTCTTCTTTTCGCTACGTGGCGCCAATTAGATATTCCAAGTGAAGCCAGGTCTTTCTCCACTTGGACCTTCCAACGGAGTGGAGGTCTTCCTCTTCCTCTGCTTCCCCCGGTGGGTACAGCGTCGAATACTTTCAGAGCTGAAGTGTTTTCGTCCATCCGGACAACATGACCTAGCCAGCGTAGCCGCTAGAATTTTTCTCTCGAAAACTCGCAACGTCGACTCATCAGTTGTTGTCATCGTCCAAGCCTCTGCACCATATAGCAGGACGGGAATTATGAGTGACTTATAGANCTTATAGAGTTTGGTTTTTGTTTGTCGAGAGAGGACTTTGATTCTCAATTGCCTACTCAGTTCGAAGTAGCACCTTTTGGCAAGAGTTATCCTGCGTTGGATTTCTAGGCTGACATTGTTGGTGGTGTTTACGCTGGTTCCAAGATAGACGAAATTATCTACAACTTYTTAGCTATGACTGTCAACAGGGACGTGAGTGCCAAGTCGCGAGTACGACGACTGTTTATTTGATGACAGGAGATATTTCGTCYTGCCCTCGTTCACTGCCAGACCCATTTGTGTTGCTTCCTTGTCCAGTCTGGGGAAAGCAGAACTAACAGAGTGGGTGTTGAGGCCGCTGATATCAATATCATCGGCATGCGCCAGCAGCTGTACACTCTTATAGATGATGGTACCTTCTCTATTTAGTTCTGCAGCTCGAACTATTTTCTCCAGAAGCAGGTTGAAAAAGTTGATAAGGAATCGCCTTGTCTGAAATCTCGTTTGATATCGAACGGCTCGGAGAGGTCCTTTCCGATTCTGACGGAGCTTTTTGTGCTGCTCAAGGTCAGCTTTGTTATATATACATATACATATATATTGCTATAGAGTATAACAGTTTTTTTCACCCAGCAGTTGCATGTATCACTTAACACTAATCGAGATAGTTATATAGAGTTATCTGTATACATATATATAAATGATCAGGATGACAAGACGAGTTCAAATCCGCGTGGTGTCTGTCTGTCCATTCGCCCGTGCAAGTCTTGAGTATCTAATGTAATTTGGTGTAGATGTTATTTGGCAAAAATGAAGGACGAGTAGTTGGGTGTAATCGGACTAGTGCCACGCCCACAAACGCCATTAAAGGAACCAAATTAATTTTCAAACTGCAATTTGGTACAGAAAAGCGGAGTAGCAAGARCACTTTTGGGCTAAAAGTTTTGAAAAAGTAGGCGTGACTTGCATCCTATTGTGTAGGTTTAATGTATATATGTATCTCTCAAACCGTTCAAGCTATGACTCAGTGTGAGTATAGAGGAAATCGGACTACGACAAAACCTTCTTCCCCTATAATACAATTTTAAATTACTTTGATTCKTGCAGTTCCCGGTAAAACTTTGTACGAGTAGGGCCTTTGAAGTATGTCGTCTTATGACCAAAAATTGTTCACATTGAACAAAATTTCCATATACCTAATATAAAGATTTTCAAACTATAATATAATATAAAATTTTGCCAAAAACTATGTATTAGAATTTAGTAGACTTTGATATTTAAAAGTTGCAAGAGTATAAAATGTTCGGTTACATCCGATATAGCCCTTCCTTACTCTTTTATATGTAGATTATTATTCAGTCGTATAATTTGTTTATCATTGGCAGAATTTTTCAATTGATAATATTTTAATAGTTTAAATATATTCTGCAAAATACTTAACTAAAATCGTTCTTTCCCGTTTATTTTCTTGCAGGTCCGCCATATGTACGCGCCATTGGTCCCATAAAAGCTGTCTCCGGCGAAGATATAATTGTTCATTGTCCATTTTCCGGTTATCCAATCGAGCAAATTAGATGGGAGAAAGGACATCAGGAATTGACATCAAGTAAGACAAATTGTCGTCGAACGTGCACATTCTCATGTTCAACATCCATATAGTAGATATATACACATTGTACAGTTATAGTGTTGCTACATTACATGCAGCAGAGCAACTAACAAAGTATAGTGACAAAGAGTAAACACTCAGAGATGACAGCGCGAAGTGTTAAAGCAGTGCAATAACGCATTAACGCTTTCGCAATCTCATTTTTGCCTTTGTTGGTCCAGCACATTGTTCCTCCGGACTTTTATTTTCAATACTGCTGTCTGTTTGTTCAGGATTTTGTGATCAAAYGCAGTTTCCAATGTGATAGTTTTAGCGTTCGCTGCCATAACTTTACGAGCGCTTTAGATATTTTCATTTTTTCACTCCACATTGTTTGGCAGCTCCAGCTTAGCACTTACCGTTTAAGTGCACACACACATATGCTTTTTGCTTTACCGGTATTTTATTGTACTGAATTTTCTATTTGCAGACTCACACTACTTGCTGTCACCGGTGCAGCRGGGCGGCTATCTTGTCATCAAGGATGTCGAACCGACCCGTGATCAGGGCATGTACACGTGCATTGTAAGGAGTCGGGCTGGAGAGGAGGCTCGCCGCGATATGCAACTAAATGTAAACAGTAAGTAGGAAAGACTAAGGATAGATATGATGAAAACTTAAAGTAAATTATGTGAATAGTATTTATCTGATCCTGGTTGTTAATAGAATTTAAAGAGAACTCGCCTACGTGATAAAGATATCGTATCTTAAAAAAGTATGACAAACAATTTCAATAAAAATAATTTTGTGGAAATTTTGAAAATGAAAACTATTGAAGTAATGAATTTAGAATTTTCGTACTGAGATTTTTTTATCCTCTACACATAAATTTCTTTGTAGAAGCTTTCTCTATTTTTTGAGAAATCAAACCGGTTTTGATCAAAATTTTACAATAAACAGGAAAGAAGGGCTAAGTTTGGACTAAACCAGTGCATTGTTGGAGAAACAGGTTTGCAGAAATTTTTTAAGAACGCTCGATCTTCCCTCAGACATCTATGCATATACCTCTCTGATATACACCCTTTCTTCATCACTGACCAATACTGACATACATCTATGCATATATCGTGTAATGTCAGCCTGTAAAACAGCTAGAGGTTGTGCGAAAATAATTCTCGTTACAGATCAGATACAACTGAGACAAGGAGCTTTTTACATTTGAGTTCGTCGGCTCTGCGGTTTTCAGKGATTTCGCTATGACCAGGCCCCTAATTAACTCGGATATTGAAGTAGCTTAATTCTAAACTTTGAACACATAGTGAGCTCAATGCTGGTACAGCCGTTCGGCTCTCAGAGTAATTGCTCACATCCCTCACCTTCTACCCTAAATGTTGGGCATCCATGAAACCTTTTTATCAGAATAAATTYATTCTACCAGCAAATGGAAAGCGATAGTTTCCCAATGATAGGAGAAGGTCTTCTATGAATTTATACCGTCTGATGTAGACTAGACTATAGCTGCATCTGTCCGTTCATTTGGATCTCACGTTGGGGTACACCTGAGGTGAGCTCGTAGGAGGTAATTCGAAAATTGTCTGTCTCTGTCAGTAGTGACGATTTTAGGCCAACGTCGGCTTCGTGTTTTTCCTTGGCCAAGATCGCTTTTGTGCGCTGGAGACTAATCTGAAACATCTTCAACAAACACCTCTCAAACTACGCTATTACGGCTTCAACATCAATTACGAATCGTTCATCTTTGARCCTGCGCACCGAGTATAGATGGTGATAGTTATACTTGTAGTTGATATTCACTAAGGTAGTAGTCTAGTAACTTAAGAATATTTTCATGACTTCTTTGGAGGGTGGTT